CGCTTGGATAGTAAATTTATGTCTTGTGCTATTCGCCGCCGGATTGGTATTGCGGTCAAATGTGACGGCCAAGCCAAGACCCGCATGGCCATGCGGTAATGACGACAAACCACAATGGGACGCTCAACGCAATACATACACAAAGGGTGAATGCGTGGCGACAAGTTCTGATACAAGCAAGGAGGCTGATACCACACAGGAACGTGGAACGCTTACTCCGAGAAACACACATACCGATTCCAGCAGGCGACGACCGACGGCTAGATCTAATTGTTCCTGGGCTCAATGTCGATCGAAGGTTGCCACTGTTCTGCGACGTTACTGTGGTATCTCCCCTTACTCGCGCAGGAGGTCCGCGACCCGGCACCAGCAACAGAGGCGGGAAGATTTTGGAAAATGCCGAAAGAGACAACAATGTGACGTACCACGATGTAATTACAACACGGCTGGGGTCACTACAATGTCTTGGGGCTGAGGTGTTTGGCAGGCAGATGGGGCAAACAACCCGTGCGGCTACTGCCATCACTGGCCAAGGAACGGTGCAGATACCTACATGTGCGCTCACGGCGGGGTACTACGTTGGTCCTTTTACACAGATGGTGGGGGCTCCTTGGTATTACCTTGCAAAAGCCCGTGGGCCACATGGTGCTGGAAGAATGGTCGGATGTTCCAACTCTGAGACTTGAGGCCCCCTGCCCGCTGGACGAACCCGCTGTCTTGTAGGCTAGGGGGGTTCCTCCTCCTCCTCCTCCTCCTCCTCCTCCTCCTCCTCCTCCTCCTCCTCCTCCTCCTCCTCCTCCTCCTCCTCCTCCTCCTCCTCCTTTAAGGCTGCTTAGTGTGTCTTCCGTTTCACCCTTGTTTCGCCGCTTCCTGGTTTTCCGGTGATCCCTTGACCTGGCGAATTGTGGAGATGATGATGGCGAGGAAAAAAAAAAAACAAAGGAGACACGAATACCGTAGAAGACACTCCCGGAATTGTTATCGGAATTGTCCCTGGATCTGTTATGCCGGGATCCTTCAAAGGGGATGCGCATTCAAAAGGGTGTATATATATATATATGTATAAAACCATTTCTCTTTACCTTCCCACGCCAAGGGGTCTGTGGCTAGCGTCGCTAGCAACCACCAGCTGGAGAGGCATGCGCCAGGCCCCTCACCGCTCGAGACCTACCCCCAAGACCTCAGGAGACCTCCAGGCAGCCCCGAAGACACCCAGGGAATCTCTTTGCAGGATACCCCAAGGTCGAGGCCCGAGGAGAACCCGAAAGACTCCAGTCCAGGAAGCTCGACCCAGGGAATCCCGAGGGAACGCCGAGGCCTGAGGAGGGCTAGATCGGAGCGGACAGGCGGCTAGCCTCTATACAGCGTGGGGGAAAAAGCGCCTCGCATCCACGAAGTAGGCCAGGCACTACTATAGGGTGGCGCGGGCGGGAACCACAAAGAGATCTACGTAGGGATGCGGCGTTTCTCGGTTTCCGAGTGTTATGTTACAATCGTCCCGATAACTGCTCATAACCTTTTCTCTTTACCTTCCCACGCCAAGGGGTCTGTGGCTAGCGTCGCTAGCAACCACCAGCTGGAGAGGCATGCGCCAGGCCCCTTCACCGCTCGAGACCTACCCCCAAGACCTCAGGAGACCTCCAGGCAGCCCCGAGGACACCCAGGGAATCTCTTTGCAGGATACCCCAAGGTCGAGGCCCGAGGAGAACCCGAAAGACTCCAGTCCAGGAAGCTCGACCCAGGGAATCCCGAGGGAACGCCGAGGCCTGAGGAGGGCTAGATCGGAGCGGACAGGCGGCTAGCCTCTATACAGCGTGGGGGTATTCCACGGACTCACAAAATTGGCACGGGAGGACTCACGTATCGTGTCTCAAGATCTCTTTCACAGCGTATCGCATCTGTTCTGACTTTCTCCTGCAACAATCGACTGATAAGACCACGCGCAAAGTGTTGGATCAACATGTGGTCATCAGGAGCAGGAGTGACTTGGACTATGCCTGCAACTGCTTGCTCAATGTGAATCTTTGCGGTCGTTGTGAACCCCATCTGCCTTTCATGATCGTTGTCTCCATATTTTGATGCGACATGAAGTCGTGCGTGGCACCACCGCGACGGCATGGGTACCACGAAGAGCGGAAATTCTCGAGGTGAAAGAACGCCAGCAACTTTTTCCCCGCAACTGCGAAGCTGCGCTGGCGACCGTGCGCTGATCGTGCCTGGAGGCGCTGCGTGTACATGCCAGCGCTTGACCAGATCCACTGCGATGGGGCAGCCGACAACGACCATCTCGGTAGTGGCTTTGCGGCGCCCTGTCTTGGTCTCAGGCAAGCGGACACTGACTCCGTCATTGATGATCGCAACCTGCTGCTTGGACAATGCGAACACCTCTGTTGTGCGGAAAAGACCTGCGAAACCTAATGCGAGGAGGGTGCTGATGTCCACAGCGTCGCACTCGATGGCGAGGGCGGCTATTCCCAGAATGAGCTCTGGCGTGAACGTCAGGGCGCGAACAGGCGGTTCGCGTGTCTCCAAGCCTTGAGCAGACTCCATGACAACCCCCAGCTCTGTTTGACTGAAGGAAAGAAGAAACCCATCGCAACGACAACATAGTTGGCAAAGCTAACGGGCTGGCCTTCGCTCCAGAGCATCTCTATGTACTCGGCGATGCCCTCGTCGGTGTCCAGCGGTCCTGATGTACTCGATGATGGGGTAGAGGCCTCCCGCCGCACAGAGGGCGGCCCCCTTGCGCAGGAGCCATTGCAGCCTGGTGCTGGACGACCGCCCCTTCGTAGTGATCGCTGCCAACCTGCGGGTCAAACAGGTGGACAAACCTGGCGCTGAGGTGACTGTGGAGCGAGTCCAAAGCAGGGCTGCGACTCCCGCCTGCAGCTCGCGGGCGTTGATGTGGATGTCAATGCTGCCTTGCCACCTCAGCGAGACCACGACTCTCCAGGTCCAGTTGAAGGGGCTGATGCTCGCCCGCGGCCCCGCCTTGGGTCGGTAAAGCAGGCCCGCGGCTAGACGAATGTCGCTCCCACTGCGATCACTTAGTGCAAGGAACTCGCCTGTGAATACTGAGGCCAACTTCTTGTCGTACTCGGCTGTGCCCTTCGTGCAGGTGCCGATCTCACCCCAGACCAGCGGGCACGACCCCCGCGCGAACAGAGCTTCAGCAGGTAGCCCGCGAGCAAGGAGTCCTCGAGCCAGAAACAGCTGCTGGAGGAGCCAGGAGACCGAATACACTGAATAAGAGTTGCCCAAGAGAAAGCTCCTCGTGTCAGCAACTCCTTGGGCCTCAGGGTCTTGTGGACAACCCTTGTGTGATGCTTGTCGAATCCCAGCAGGGCCTCTCTCTCCTCGGGGTTAGGCGTGCGGAGGCTCCCATCCTGGTCGTTCCGATGCTTGGAGGTCTCTTCATACCAGCCCAAGTGATAGCGATGACAGTCCTGCTCCCGCCTCCTTTTTGCAGCGTCCGAAGCCGGGCGGAGGCCAGCAGGCGTCGCAGGTCTAACTGAGGCTGGCCGCGGGCACACAGCATCGGTACTGGAGCAGCGCCGCCTCCCCAGGTCCAGCCAGCAGCGACCCACTGGAGAGGGGCGACGGAACCGCTGACTCGGCGCACGATTAAGTGTGACCCTCTGGGCTGGCGCCGCTCCTCGACTGCGAATTCCCCGCGAGTCTGTGCAGGCCAACTGCGCCAGTAGTAACGCGGCCGACGGGCAGGAACAAATATAGAGGAGCATAGCTTGACTGGCGGGGCTCCAAGCTCCTTCGCGATAGCATCTCTCACTTGCAGACTCATCGAGGCAACGTCCCCCACAAAGGTGGCTAGCTTCTCCTCGAAGTGCTTACGAAGGAGACCGTGGACCCGCGGGATCTCATAGAAGAGCTTCGAGCTGGGGCCCCCCAGGCCTGCCCGCGGCAAACTGACTGCGCTGAGGTCCTGACCAGGGCTGCCCGCTCCACGGACGCAGACGTCGCACAGGCTGTAGTAGGTGTCAGCCAGCTTAGCGACGTCCGTCTCGGAGATCGATCGGATATCACCCCAGTCCGCGGTTCCAGGCCATCGGAGTCGCGACTCGTCGAGCAAGCTTGTCAACCTCGCTGCGCACCATGCCGATGATGTCGACTGGCAGCCTGGACATTGCCACAGCCAGCGCGGCGATGCCGTCGAAGAGGCTCACGATGAGCACCCTGGGCCGCGGCCGCCCACCTGGCAGCAACGGGGGGCTGCGTGCGGGCGGCAGGTCGCCGCGGCCTGGCCCCAGCACCGGCCTAGCTCCCTGGCGGGCGGCCCTGAGCTGCTGGGCTGCCAAGGGCGTGAGGCCAGTGGAAGCGCACACTCCACCTCCAGCCTCCGAGGCATCCGAGACGGTGGCGACTGGCGACGGCGCGGCCCTAAGGTCGGTACCCGCAATGGGCAGGTACCCCATGCACACGAGCAGCTCCTGGCTTATGCCCATGTTGATGCGCCTACCTCTCGTCCTGGTGGAGAACTCCCAGACCAAGTTGAGGCAGCTCAAGAGCGGCCGCCTGAGCTCCAGGGCCAGAACGGCACGGCCCAGCAGCGTGAGCATGAGCAGCCATGGGCAGTAATCGCGGCCCAGGGCATACAAGATGTAGCGGACCAGCTCGATCACCTTATTAGCAGGGGGCCCTGATCGTACCAGCGCAGCCGTCGATGGACACCCCCATTCTCTCGAGCTGCAGCTGCCGCGCATGGCTTTTCTCCTCCGCGTAGGCGACCTCTGCCTGGGTGTAGGCGCGCCGCATGGCGAGCTGCATCTCGCCTGGGGTGCCAACGACCCGATGCGCCTCTGCCGCCTCCAGGACCTCGGGCGCATCAAGAATATCGATGTAGACCTGCCACCACGCATGAGGATGCTGCCTCGCTAGCGGCCAGGCTGATTGCGCGTCCACTCTGCTTCTGCAGGCAAGCCAGCTCCTAAGCGCGGTGCTCGCAGGGCCAGGCGGCAATGCAGGTGTTGGAAGAGGGTGACTGCGGGTACCCAGCCCATGGGGATGACGCGGAACGCCACGTAGACCAGGTGGTCCCCTGGCAACCCCGCAGAGCTCGCTGGCACGGGCACCGAGACGGCCATTCTGCCATACCAGATTGGCGGCAACTTCCAGACATAGAAGGCGCCCTTCTGGTCGTCGCTGCTCCACACCATGACGCATCCTGCTGGCAAGTGGAGGCTGGCCCATGTGGTGGAGGCCGCCAAAGTCGACGTGTCCTTAACAATGTTGCGGAGGTAGGCGTTGGAGGGTATCATGTTGAAGATGAGGCGCGTGCATCTCGACAAGGCCTCGAATGGCTTGGCCTACCTCTCGCGAGCGAATAGGCCGTTGAAGACCTTCTGGCCCCGCTGCGCAAAGATGTCCGCCTCGTCGGCCACGCCCAAGATGCCGAGGCCAATCAAGTGTTCTGCGACCTCGTACCAGTCCTCGAGCCTCGCGCAATTGACTCGGGCGCGAGGAGGGTACAGCGGCCAGTCCGCATCAGGCAGCGTGGCAACCTCAGGGTCCATGAGCCACTCCAGGATGTGCCCGTCAACGAACTCCTCTGTCTGGAGCTGCGCAGCATGCTGTTTGTCGGGAAGGCCTGGTATAGGCTCCGCTAGCTTGATGGGCAAGGCCTCGCCCTGCTCCTCACCAGTGTAGTCGACCCTGAGCTTGCTGATCTTCTGGGACCAGTCGATGTCAGGCCGACGAGTCAGTGGGTCATCCAAGAAGCCGTCGACGTGGGAGATGGTGGTCTTGTAGGCGGACCGCTGGGCAGGATGCAGCACTGGCGAGTGCCTCCACAGGCGAGGGCCACCTCGACCAACGTACTCGAAATTGAGAGACAGCACCATTATGTATGACCAAAATTCTCTGGCGACTAAACGCCCCTCCATCCTGGACCTCTGACGCTTCCTTCTCGGTCCGTCCTGAGATGCGACCCGAGCTCGTGTGAGCGTAAGGCCGGGGAGGGCCATCGGCAACAGGTCACGCGCCCTTACCTGCGGCCCTCCAGTCGTGGGAAGGTGTGGACGAAGGCCACGGCAACACTTTTCAAGGCGGCCTGGGTGCAGCCACTGCAAGGTGACGATAGCGATGACCAGGCCCAGTAAATGCGGCGTGGCGGGTACAGCTCGAGACACAGCTGCTCTCCACGCGGTCAGGTCAGTGTAGACTGGCAAGTGTTCAGTCCAGCGAGGCTGCGCGTCGGTGTTCGGCGCTGCCGCGTGGCCTACCTCGCGGGTCAGTCCCGCCGCTCGCGAGCCTCCTGCATGAGCTTCCTGAGGCGCATGCCGTCGGCTCCCCGCGTCTCGCCCTGCCTCTTCGGGTGGGCGTCCTTGACGGTCTTCCAGGAGACCTCCTTCGGCGTCGCCTCCTTCGAAAAGTCCTCGCGCAGCTGCACGATCCGCTGCGGCCCTGGTGTAGGGCGGCGGGCTGCTGCTGCTGGCGCTGCTGGTAGCGGTGGATCCTTGACGAGGCCCGCAGGCGTCCGAGGCCCAGGCAGCCGGTGTGCCGCCTTGCCTCGGCTCCCGCCAGTGTGGCCTACAAGAGGGGAGTTGCTCCTCAGCGGCTCCCTCTCCCGGCCTGACCCCTAGCCCTGCTTGAGCTTGGACAGCAGCTCCTCTAGGCGCAACTCGCCCAGCTCGACGGCGCGCACGATCTCCTCATCCTCCGTCCTGAGCGCGAGCTGCTCGTTCATGGGCGGGATGAGCTCCAGCCAGCGAGCACCTGACCAACTCTTGTCGATAGCGGAAAGCTGAAGTGCCTTGAACCGTTGACCCAGCACGTCCAAGGCGTAGGCCGTCTTGCCCGAAAGGATGGCATCCGCGGCCTCGCAGACTGTCCTCATCTCGCGGTAGACCTCAATTCCGCTCGACTTGATGGGGGTCTGAGGGATGAAGACATTCAGAAAGTACTTCAGGAAGGTCGACGGGAAATCCTCCCCCGTCTTCTCACCATCCTGCGTGGTGACATACTCACTCATCTTGGCCAGCGCCTGCTCAGAGAGAAGCCCAGGGAACTTGGCGGCAATCTGGCGAAAGTGACCTCGACGAGTGGCGAGACCTCGCGGGACTGCCCCATCACCACTGCCGCTGGCGCCACTGAGAACTGACTGCAATACGTCACCAGTGCCGCTCCTGTTGGCCGCCGCCTCAAGCATCAACTGGAGAAGAGGTCCCTCGGCCCCTGCCCCAGCGCTGCCGCCCGCGGCACACGCAGCCGCCTCTGCTGGCACCTCGGGCGCGCGCCTCTTGTCGGCCCTGTCCCGCGCGCAGGGGGCGCCACGGCTGACAGGCGGGCGCCTGCCTCCTCTAGCGGCGAGGCCTGCAGGGCAGCGGGCTGGCGGCCGCCGCCGCGCGCTGGCGCCGCCATGGGGCGCGGGCCCGAGGCCGGGGCAGCCGTGTCCTGACCCGCGCAGCTGTCGAGCGGCATGCCGAACCCGTCCAGCTCGACCTCCGACGACCTGCAAGCCGCCGCCACTCCTGTAGACTCGGGCCCGAGCTCCTGGGACCAGCGGGCCAAAGAGTCCACCGCCTGGCACTCTAAGTAGAACTCCGACGCCTTCGCGGCGTCGACCTCCTCGAGCTCCGAGACGTCGATCAGCGTCCCGCGGGAGGCGCTCAACGTGGCGAGGCACATCTCCTCCGCGCAAAAGTGGTAGAGCGGCCGCCCTGCCCCCCCCACGCTCCAAGGGATGAACCATCCACCAGGCCCGATAGCCGTCGCTGCGGCAAATCTGCTCGGCCCGTGCGAACTGGCCATCCTCGTCGGGAGGGTAGGCGCCTATCACCTGGATGAGGTGCTCACCCTGCGGCCGCGCCTCCGAGTCGAACGCCGTGCAGGGATACAGGCGGCCGACCTGCGCGGGGAAGCGGAGGGCGGCGGGCTCGGACTCCCCCAGCGAGAGGTCTGCAGGCACCTCCTCCTCCCCAGCTGCGTCCACCATGCCCGAGCGCGTGAGACCTGGGAAAGTGGCAAACTGGTCACGCCTAGAACTCGCGGCAAGGTCCTGCTGAAGGAGGGGCGCCTGGACCTCACCCCTCTCTCAAGAGGGAAGAAACATTTGAACCACAAAGAGATCTACGTAGGGATGCGGCGTTTCTCGGTTTCCGAGTGTTATGTTACAATCGTCCCGATAACTGCTCATATACATATATATATACGTCCTTCTTGAATTACCGACGCAAGCCATAGTGTATCTGCCGTAATCGTGCCCATTACATGTGTAATGCCATTCGCGGTGTAAGTTGTCGTGGGTCGTCGGATTCGTGAATATCGGTAGTATTGTCGTAAAGAGCGTCGATGTTGTGTATGCCGATGTCGTAGCTGGTGCCGTCCTCGATGCCAACGCTGGTGTAGGTGTCGGCTCCGGTGGTGATGTTCGGCAGTGCTGATGTCGTGACGGAATTGTCCCAATGAATCTCGAACTCTACGCCATAATTATCGGTGCACCGGTCGTCGATGCACTTACCCATCGGGAGATCGGTTGGAATCGGAGCCAAGACCACGCGTAGATAGGTGCAGGGGTCGGAACCGGGATCGGAGCGGGAGTCGGAGAATAGGACGATACCACGATCGGCACGGGCAATTTTGGCCATAACCGCTATCTGAGATATGGCGGGTCCGATTGGGACCCCCGTCATTCGTCGAAGGAGGGTCCGACGCTGTACGATACGATAAACCGAGCTGGACGTCGGTCGGGATCCACGCTATATGGGGAGAGTGATCGTCCATGCCACCATAAAGTGAGAATCCATTGTACATCTTGGGGTGCCGGACTTGGGAAGTATAGCTGCACTGTACCACCATATCTCGTTGTATTCGGGCCCCGGGCCCGGAGCTGGAATCCAGAACCCAAGTCCGACACTGCCGTAAGGTCGGAGGAAACGTGATTTCAGCATCCGGGGTTGGTTTTCGACAACGGTCGGGCTCTGCAGTCGGAAATCGATCGGGCATTGGATAGGGAGCGGGAAAGGAAGAGCGAAAATGATATCCACGCCGTAGGCGTGACCCTTATACTTATGCGTTGCTTTGCTATCCTGCTGTTGTTCTTCGTCGTCTCGAGGATTTTTTCATCGAAATCTTTTGGTCTCTAGCGTGGGGCCCTTTTATGGCTCTTGTTTGGGGCCCTTTCGTAGGAACATCTCGTGGAATGTCCGCAACATGTTCTTGCGGGGATACCGCGGTAGTCCTCGAAGTCCCCACTCGCACCATCGGCCTGCGTATTTGGTATGTGTAAGCCTTTGGGGTTTCCCCGGAAGTCGTCGTTAATGTTCTGGGAATTGCCGGGGTCGGGGCAGGAGTCGGGAAAACCAAACCAAGAGTAAGGACATCGACAATCGCATTGGGAAGGAAAGCAACATTAATATTCTATTGTATCATCCTCTTTCCTCCCTCACATCCGTATTGGTACCAATTTTGTCGCCGTATCTTATTGCCCGCCCCTGTGTAATCGTTGGCATTGCCCTGGATGCCGCCGGCAGGGCCGATCCCGATGGAGACGGCGATCCCGTCGGAAACGGGAGTCGGAACAATGCCGTGGTAAGCAGTAGCCATGGATGATGTAGTTGGCGGCTTTGTACTTGAACCGTGGCCGGCATGACAGATAGGGGCCATCCCGTCACAATGATAACATACAATTACCAGGATTTCTGCCCGGGGAGTAGACGTGCCAACCAAACCAATGCCCGTAGTGACTATATTGCATGCGTACGTGCCGTCGTGCCCACGATATTGAAAATGCTCGTCAAACAGAGCATGCACCAATTCCTGGGTCGTCGCATGTACTAATACGGAGCGTACCCTGCCGCGCCGGGCAGCGGGGCCGGCAAACCAGCGAGATGGTATAGGAACGCCGTGTATGTCGTGTGGGCATTGGCCAGCATATTGCGGAGCGCACCGCGCCCACCTGTCTGGCCCGGAACGCCTCCAATTGTGCACGCTCCCACTGCGTGAGTTGCGGCTCCACCGGGGCAGCCGCTACGGTCGGAGTATTGTTTGGGCGCATCCAGACCCATAACATCGTCATGGTGAAATCCCACGTAAAACCCAATGCTCAAACCAAGTGCTAACCACCCCCGCGCAATCGTTATGGGGGCGAATCCCGGTGTAGACACGTACATCGGATTCCCCCCGGAGCAAGCCGCAGCCGCGTGGATTGATGCCAGATGGCATTCGCGCGGGAGGCCGGATAAATAGTTCACCGCCCCTCGCGATGCGAAAGATGCCCAAGAAGTGGACCAATCCCACGCTGTGGCCCCCGCTGTTGCCCAATCGATCCCCGCAAGTACGTCAAACACCCACGCCATCTGTCCGCTGTAGAAGGGCGAAAGGAAATATGTTGTGTAAGAGAAAGTGTGGGAAGGAAAATAGGATGTAAGGGTAGATGAAATGGGATGTCGGATATGGGGTCTCTTGGGAGCCTTGAGCCACTTCGATTCGGGAGGAAGGGGCAAACGAATTGCGCCTATCACTCGAAAACGAGGTGGGACAGGGCGAGAGATACCGGGCGTGTGTCCGCGGCCATTTGTGTTCAGGCGCCCTTTCCCAAATTTACGCTTGCGCCTCATTATATTACTTGCCATCGAGACCGCACATATTTTTCGCTTGAGATGACCCGTCGCGTCCGCGACGAATTTAGAGTTGGAGTTGCGCTTTGCCTGAGGTAAAGCTTCAGGACGGGCTTCCCGGCTTCCTTCTACTTTGCTAGAGGAGCTGGCCTATGGTGGTCAGTTCGCGCTCCTTAGCATCCACGGCGCTATCTGGTGGAATACTGAAATTGTGGATTATCATGGTGCAGCGGGTCTGCGCGGAGGAATGTACATGATTACGCGTGATGCTTACAATTCTACCT